AAAAAAAAAAAAAAAAGAAGTCAAACGGTTGCAGATCAGAGAAGTGCTGGTAATTTATTTCCTGGCTACACACTGGGCACCTTTGAGGTAGTGTTGTCTCAACAGTGTCCTAGATCTCTTCCCCCCCCCCTCCATCTCTTTGTACAGAAAATGAAGAAAGCTGCTGCAGGCTAGCRGTGCTACACTGCTGAGCTTGGCTGCCTCAAGCAGATCTATCAAGGGAAAAAGGGAACATCTCCAAATCAAGTGCAGAATATAAAAAGGCAAAACGCGAATTTCTGCCAAAAGAAGCAAACATGGCAGGAAAAGGAGAGGAAAGGGGAAAAAGAAAAAAAAAAAAAAGGAGGAAAAAGAAACCACCCACTCGACTGTGCCCTCCCTCCTGCCATCCCCACGCACCCCACTCCTCGCCCCCACTCTCCCTCTTTTCTTCCCCCCCCYGAAAGCAGAAAGCTGAACTGCCAACTCTTTCACATACTACCCACCAGATGAGGTGGGGCCTCTCTCCGGCAACCACTTAGCTCCAGAAATGATGTGAGGGTAGAAAAAGGCCACTCTGCTGGAAATTGTCACTCTTACACAAGCTGGCTCTATTCAGTCCCTGATCAAAGCACTGCCTTACAGAGAAAGTCGATTTGCACGCCCTGGGACAAAATAATCTAATTTACAAGCTCAGGCTATAGAACTTTCTTTAGGAAGGAAGGGGGGAAAAAAAAATACCAAGAAGAAAAACCACATAAACCACCCCCCTCCTTCCACCAGAAATATCATCTATGACTTCTTGCTGCTTAAGACAGCAGAAAGAGGAATTTTAGCATATTAATCTCAAGACAAGATAAGTTTATACTTGTCTGTGTAAACAGTTTATTCACTGCAGGAATCGAGAGGCTGCAAGTCAACTGAATTAGCAAGGCAGCGAGTTAATTTTCAAAGAGCAGGGCAGGTCCCCTCCAARCCAGGCACAGATCTGCTGCCAAGGTCCCTTTTGGGGGATCCTGCTGCCCCCAACTCTCCACAGCGATGCACACCATGCCAAGCCCTGCTCTGCACTGCAGCAGTGTCAGGGATGAGGCCAGAGCCACCAACACACCCAACAGGGACATCTCCACTTGGGATTTACCCAGCAGGATAAATCCAGAGCCCCTGAAAACTCCTGATCAGCGCCAGGTTTCCAGAAGGACCAAGATGGGGCTGGTCACAATCAGGTTTGCAGAGCAACGCTGGGAGCACATGGCTCCTGCCCAACACCACGCCAAGCCCTGCTCACCACTGCAGGGTGGTGGTCAGAGCCACCAACACACCCAACTGGGACATCTCCACTTGGGATTTACCCAGCAGGATAAATCCAGAGCCCCTGAAAACTCCAGGTTTCAGGAAGGACCAAGATGTGGCCGTGCACAAGGAGGTTTGAAGAGCAATGCTGGGAGCACGTGGCTCCTGCCCAACCCAGCAGCTCTCCTGTGGCATCACCCTGAGATGGGAACCTCTCCTGCCCTTCTCCCCTCCCTCCCCAGCCCCCCAGCCCCGTCCTGGACTCACCGGAAAATGAGGTAGAGACACTTGACCGTTGGCCTTGACGCTGCGGTGCATCTCCCGCTGGAGCTGCTTCTTGCTCCCAATCCTGTACGGGGGGATCCCATCTCTGCACAGAGAACACAGGCCACCGTCAGACAGGGCTGTCCCCACAMTTCTCCATCCCCTCTGGAGCCACCCAGGCAGCCACTGCCCCTGTCCCCAGAGGCACTGAGCCCTCTGGATGTCACCACAGCCGCCCATGTCACCAAAGGGGACAGATGTGCAGCAATTATGCAAAAGCTGAAGGCAATCCCACGTGGGCAGAAGTCCAAAGATGCCATCAGCTTCATTCCTAAGGCCCTTCCAACGCCAGGTTTCTGCTTCTGACCTTTAATTTTAGGTTTTTCCCCACCGAGTTACGCTCTCGAGGACCACAGAGTTCCAGCTCTGAATAGCCCACGGAGCACAGTGGCTACCAGGACCTGAGGATGGGTGGCTGCTCCCCATCTCCAGCCCTGTTTAGGATGCAGGATTTGCCCTGCCCCGAGGCTGGCCAGCACAGGACACCTCAAGGTGTCACCCCTGCTCAGGACACTGCTGCCCACAGCCACCCCAGCTCCTGCCAGGAGACACCAGGAGACACCAGACCAGGAGCTCCAGGATCTCCAGAGGGAACATCCCACTCCAGGCACCACAGGGCAWCTCCACCCGGCAAAAAATCACCCCACTGAGGATGAAAGGGCCCTGCACACACAGCGGGGCAAGCAGGAAGAGCATGCCTGCAGATCCTGAATGCCTAATTCCACCACTTCCCTCAGACTGCCAGGATAACCTTGATCTCCAGYGCTGGCCCTTTCATCCACCTGCCCCCACACCTGACTCATCTCCTGAGAGGAGAAAATAACTCCAGCCCCGGGAGGAGCAGACAGTGCTGGCCCCACACCGCTGCCAGCAGAGCCAGCGTGGCACCGTGTCCCTGAGTGTCCCCTCCCCTGGCTGTGACAATGGTGGCACACACTGAGATGCCCTCCCAGTGACACCACGTCCATCCCCTGGAGGAGGATGAGCAGATGCCACCACTCAAAGCTGGAGGCAGAGCTTTGTGAAGGTCTTGGCCAAAGTCTCAAGCTGCCATTAAGTTGCTTTAATGATCCAGATCAAGCTGCAAAGCCTGGAGTGAGGGATCAGAACAATCCCATCTTAATAAACCTGGACAGATCTTTGTAACAGAAATGAGCAGGCTGGAAGGCCCACGAGACAAGCAGCAGCCTCCTCCAGACACAGTTTTGGAGCACATGTGGCATGGAAAGCAAAGGAGAGACTGTCCCCATGTCCCCACGCACAGGACGGGGTTCCAGAAGATTCTGGAGGAGCAGCCCAGCCCAGAACAACCTGCACAGCCACTGGTGGCCACCAACCATGGCCACTGGTGGCCACCAAGCAGCTCTCCATCACTCCATGAAGCATTTCTGCTCCACAAACCTGTGGGGCAACAGCACTCAGGGCACACATGGGCCTCAGCTTTTGGGGAGAAAAGGGAGGAAAGGGGAAAAGCAAAGCCAAGATGGAACCCAGCCCAGCTGCACCTTCAGAGATGTGTTTGTGACCTGGGGCTTCTCTTCAGAGATGTGTTTGTGACCTGGGGCTTCTCCTGGGGGACACCCTGAGCGATGGGAATGCCCACTGGAACAGCATTGAAGGGCTGTGTGTGCACCACAAGGACACAGCCAGGGACAGCACCGAGTCCTGCAGCCCGCCTGCAGCTCTGAGAGATGCTGTCCCCAACCCCTGTGCTGTGTCCCCACCCCCTGTGCTGTGTCCCCAGCCCCTCTGCTGTGTCCCCAACTCCTCTGTGTCCCCAACCCCTCTGCTGTGTCCCCACCCCCTCTGCTGTGGCACACATCTCCAAAGGGACAGTCCTGGGACATGCCATGGGGCATCAGTGGGGACACACATGTTAAGGAGGAGCAAAAACATCAATGGGTTGTTTTTCCTCGCTTTTAGATCTGCTCTCATTCAGGTTGATACAAAAACTGCTCTTTTTCCCCCGAAATTCCTCTGCTGCAGCAGAGAGCCCCACATCAAACCTGCAGCTCCTGCTTACACAGCCCTGGCTCTGCAACTTGTAACGACATGCAGAATTTAAAAAAAAAAGGAATTAAAGAAACACCCCAGAGGTGTTTCTCTGGGATGGAAAGGCTGTGGAGCAGCTTGGGAAAACCAGCCTGGGGAATGGGAAAGGACTTGAGCAGCCACTTAGCTGAGCTCTGTCAAAACCCATTCCTAGAAAACGGGGAAAAAGGACAAGTGCAGGGCAAAGGGGTGACCAATGAGTGACCCCTGAGTGCAGGAGGGACAGATGGACAGAGCTGGAGCCAGATCTGGCCAGCAGGAGCTACAGGGGGCAGAGGGAGCCCTGATGCTTCAGCAGATCCCCCAACCAGGAGAAATTAGAAATGAGAGGACTGAACTCAGCCAGAGGCTCTGGGGCAGGCCAAGAGCCACCTCCAGCTCTCCAGCTGCCACCTCTCCCCACACTCCAACACTCACTCTCTTGGCTACCAAAACCTGCAGGGCCCAGGAGCTCCAGAGTCGAGGCACTAAACAGCAGAGTTTAATTATAAACATTTCAGCTAACCAGGCTGGGGCTAAGCCAATCTGTTTCTGGGGGAAACACTAGTTTGAAGTCTTCTACCCAGTCAGCTGCCATTTAAGCTGAGCCAATTATCTTAGCCTTTTGACTCAGATGTGCCTGACCTAACCTGAATGTAGTTTTACTGCTGCTTTGAAATATCAGACTCATGCGCATATGCATTCACTCCCATCTTCATTTGGCAACGGCTCTGAAACAAGCCTCTGATCTTGCCAACATCAAAAGCCTGGTTTGTAAGATAAGGTAATATTTGAAGTTTGCTCAGCAGCATTCCCCTGTGTCCAAAGTAAATCCATAAATAAGATATAAGCAAATAAAAAAAAAAAANCAGCATTGAAGGGCTGTGTGTGCACCACAAGGACACAGCCAGGGACAGCACCGAGTCCTGCAGCCCGCCTGCAGCTCTGAGAGATGCTGTCCCCAACCCCTGTGCTGTGTCCCCACCCCCTGTGCTGTGTCCCCAGCCCCTCTGCTGTGTCCCCAACTCCTCTGTGTCCCCAACCCCTCTGCTGTGTCCCCACCCCCTCTGCTGTGGCACACATCTCCAAAGGGACAGTCCTGGGACATGCCATGGGGCAGAGTGGGGACACACGTGTAAAGGAGGAGGAAAAACATCAATGGGTTGTTTTTCCTCGCTTTTAGATCTGCYCTCATTCAGGTTGATACAAAAACTGCTCTTTTTCCCCCGAAATTCCTCTGCTGCAGCAGAGAGCCCCACATCAAACCTGCAGCTCCTGCTTACACAGCCCTGGCTCTGCAACTTGTAACGACATGCAGAATTTAAAAAAAAAAGGAATTAAAGAAACACCCCAGAGGTGTTTCTCTGGGATGGAAAGGCTGTGGAGCAGCTTGGGAAAACCAGCCTGGGGAATGGGAAAGGACTTGAGCAGCCACTTAGCTGAGCTCTGTCAAAACCCATTCCTAGAAAACGGGGAAAAAGGACAAGTGCAGGGCAAAGGGGTGACCAATGAGTGACCCCTGAGTGCAGGAGGGACAGATGGACAGAGCTGGAGCCAGATCTGGCCAGCAGGAGCTACAGGGGGCAGAGGGAGCCCTGATGCTTCAGCAGATCCCCCAACCAGGAGAAATTAGAAATGAGAGGACTGAACTCAGCCAGAGGCTCTGGGGCAGGCCAAGAGCCACCTCCAGCTCTCCAGCTGCCACCTCTCCCCACACTCCAACACTCACTCTCTTGGCTACCAAAACCTGCAGGGCCCAGGAGCTCCAGAGTCGAGGCACTAAACAGCAGAGTTTAATTATAAACATTTCAGCTAACCAGGCTGGGGCTAAGCCAATCTGTTTCTGGGGGAAACACTAGTTTGAAGTCTTCTACCCAGTCAGCTGCCATTTAAGCTGAGCCAATTATCTTAGCCTTTTGACTCAGATGTGCCTGACCTAACCTGAATGTAGTTTTACTGCTGCTTTGAAATATCAGACTCATGCGCATATGCATTCACTCCCATCTTCATTTGGCAACGGCTCTGAAACAAGCCTCTGATCTTGCCAACATCAAAAGCCTGGTTTGTAAGATAAGGTAATATTTGAAGTTTGCTCAGCAGCATTCCCCTGTGTCCAAAGTAAATCCATAAATAAGATATAAGCAAATAAAAAAAAAAAAGAAAAAAAATCCCCTTTCCTCTCTGCCCCCCCCCCAACCCCCCACCAATCAAGAAATGGAAATAGAAATTTGCATGATGTTTTGTGGCTGTTACAGAATATATAGGGGCAGACTGATCCCTGGCTTCTGGAATAAAGTAAAAAAGGCAGATTACGCATTATTKGGAGATTTCTCCTAATCCCAGTGCAGTTCAGACTTAGATTTATCCAAAAATAAAAATCTCCAAACTCACTTTACTGCTATGTCTGACAGACTTTTCCAGAACAAGTTTTTCCTCTTCAGTTGATACCAACATGAGCCAAGAGAACTGATTTGCATTYGCACTGCTGGAGCAGAACAAGCTCAGATCCCCCTGTTCCAGGGGACCCAAAATCTGCCAGGCTGAGCACCTGGGCTCAACCAGGGCAGGGCTGAGCACCCCAAAACACCCCCAGCTCCCCGCAGAGCTGGTGCCAGGAGCACCTGCCAATCCCAACCGCCCCACAGGGACGCTGGCAGCAGCCCTGCTCCTCTGCAAAGGCAGCTCTGCACCAGGCTTAACTTTAAACCCAGCCTCCAGAAGTGCCAGATCACCTGTCCCAGCCCCAAAACTGCCCAGCACCCCAGTGCATCCCAGAGACCTAAAAACACCCAGCACCCTGGTGCACCCCGGCACCCCAAAACTGCCCAGCACCCCTGTGCATCTCAGAGCCCCAAAACTGCACAGGACCCTGGAATACCCCACAGCCCCAAAACTGACCAGCACCCCTGTGCATCCCACAGCCCCAAAATTGCTCAGCACTCCTGCGCATCTCAGAGCCCTAAAACTGCCCAGCACACCAGTGCACCCCACAGCCCCAAAACTGCCCAGCACCACGGTGCACACCAAAGCCCCAAAACCTCACAGCATCCCTGTCCACCCCAGAGCCCCAAAACTGCCCAGCACCCCAGAGCCCGCTCCCAGCCTCAAAACTGCCCAGTACCCCAGTGCATCCCAGAGCCCCAAAACTGCCCAGTAACCCTGTGCATCCCACAGCCCCTAAACTGCTCAGCACCCCGTGCATCCCAGAGCCTGCTCCCAGCCCCAAAACTGCCAAGTACCCCTGTGCATCCCACAATCCCAAAACTGCCCAGCACCCTGTGCATCTCAGAGCCCTAAAACCACCCAGTACCCTGGTGCACCCTGTAGCCCCAAAACTGCTCAGCACCCCAGTGCACCCCACAGCCCCAAAATTGTGCTGCATCCCGGAACCCCAGAACCTCCCAGCACCCTGGTGCACCCTGAAGCTCGCTCCCAGCTCCAAAACTGCCCAGCACCCCAGTGCACCCCATAGACCCAAAACTGCCCAGCACCCCAGTGCACCCCATAGACCCAAAACTGCCCAGCACCCTGATGCACCCTGCAGCTCACTCCCAGCCCCAAAACCGCTCAGCATCCCAGTGCACCCCAAAACCCCCCAGCATCCCTGTCCAGCCCAGATCCCGCTCCCAGCCCCAAGCCCGCAGCGTGGCCCCGGTGGGGACGGTCTGTGGCCCAGGGAATCCCTCTCCCYGCCGCCCCCCAGCCCGGAGCTGCGGGCAGTTTAATCAGCCAAGCTTCCCCAAACTCTCACAGCCTGCGCGGGCCATTGTCACGGCAGGAAAAAACAGGCAGCTCCTTTCAGGCGCTGCTTTATGGGGAGCTCCTATTCACTTGTTCAAGCAAATTTCAAAGCGGGCTGCTGCCCTCTCATCCCCGCTAAGCTCCCCTGGACTAACAATGGGCTGAAAGCGATTCAGTTAAGCCTTTCATCCACCATGCACTTTATTTCTCACTCAGTGCTCTCATCTGTATAAGGCCTACAATTGGCATTGCTGTGAAGAGAGGGTATAATCCTAGCCCTGTGAATCCCAAGTGACCCTACACTGGTCCAGAAATGACTAACCCAATGAATGCTCTGTTGACACATGATCACATACAACCAGAGCCAGTAAGAAGAAATAAAGAAGTCACCCTATGATTCAGCTCTTTTATTTAATGCCAATATTGTTCAATAAGGGAATCCGCTGGGACAACAAACTATTTTTTTTTTCTGTAGTATCAGTTCAAAACACACATGTGTGGGTTTTTTTTTAAAAAAAAAGAGCTTTTTGTTTATGCATCAAGGATTTTTGGTAAATCCTGTTTTCCGTTGTGCATCTTCACGCATGTTGACTCTAAAAACCCAGCATGAAAGGAGCACATGGGGACCACTGGACATGTCTGAGCACACAGGGACCACTGGACATGTGTGACACAGACACTGGAGAGGTTTCAGGATGAGAGACTGGGAATGCAGTGCTCTGCTCACAGGTGGGCTTTTCTAGAGCATTTACACACAAGCATTTACACGAAACACCAACAGCAACATCTGCCTTCTGCTCAGCTGAAGGAAATGATCCTTAGGAGCACCAAGTGAGCCTCACCATCCCCTCTACAGAAACAAAAGCACCATTTCTGTCCTGCTGGGGAAAGCAAACTTTGCTCTCCACTGCACACCCCTCAACAGCCAGGAGATGACAGATCCTGCAGTTCCTGGGCTCAGCCACAGAATCATCCCTTATCCTGCATGCTCCTGAAACTCCCAAACCTGATCCATGCAGCTCCATCCCAATGGCTCTTTGAAGACTGCCCCAGCCATTCTAGACAAGCAGCTATTTGCCCCTTCGGGTCACTGGCCCTATTAATGCACGTTCTGGCATTAATGACGAACRTTAATTACGGAAAGTACTTCCTACAGGAAGTAATCTCCTTCTCTTTGATGACTGATAACTGGTTAAGGAAGCCTGGCCTTAAGACAAAGRCTCAGGGAGATTCATCTGCTCCTGGGCTTAGTCAGGCAGCCCCACGAGCCAGGGCAGGACGTGTTTGCTCAGCTGCAGAATGGCAAGAGAGGGGTTCCTGAATTCATTATTTCCCTCTGATACCTGCAGCGGTGATGCAAGGGGATCACAGCCCGGCTGGGCACACACCAGGATGATGCCCCATCACTCCCCAAACCCCACAGATTGGCAAGTGTCCCCTCCCAGAAGGTGGCCACCTCCTCAGCAGGTACTCACACGCTGCTGTCGGTCATGGACATGGAGTCGTCGGTCAGGGCATCGCTGGAGATCTCGCTGTCGTTGGCGCTGGTGGCCGGGGCGAAGACATAGCCCGAGTTCACGTGGTATGGGTTAACGGGGTCGCTCCTCTTGAAGGACCTGGGCACAGCACAAATCCAGTTAGGAGCTGGGCTCCAGGCAGCACCATCCTTCACTGATCAGCCTCTTCAGAATCAACCAACCATCCAGACCTCAGCCAGGACACTGCCCACTGCCTAAACACACCCTGCGCCCAACTGCAAAAATGTCACTTCTAGCATCCTCTAAATAACTCTGGATAATCCCACAGGAAGCRCCTCTGCATCCTTTGATACCCCCAAAAACTCAGTCCTTAAGGTTTGGGGCTGTGCTGCTCTGGTCAGCAGGAGTTTTGCTGTTGGCCCCAGGAAATGACAAGAAATTCAGCGCTCAAGTGCCACTGAAAGCCATGAGGAACCAGCTAACAATGTTCAATTCTGCTCTGAAGACAAGGGAGAAGATCCCTTTGRAAACACAAGKTAYTGAYTGGYATCTGTRTTWAAAATAAATAAAATAAACAGAACTGCCTGGAACTACAGGRGCAGGACCCCCATGTGTCAGAGGGCTGAGATTTGCTGTCCCAAAGATGGTGACACCTTCCTGGCATTATAAAAACACACAACAAAACATCCCAGATTTTAGGAGAACCTCCTGCTTGTGCTTTATTGGCAGAAAGTGAGTGAGGAGGAGGAGGAGGATGGATGGGGATGTGAGGAGTGGGTTCCTGACAGGCAGTGGGTTAATGACACCAACACYTTTGGCTTCCCCTGCAGATGCAAAACACAAAATTCAGGGCTGAGCACTCAGGAGCAGTCCTGTGACAAACTCAAAGCAGTGACACAGCCAGGTCACCAGGGCAGGGTCACTGCATCCCCCTGCCCACTGCCTCCACCCTGCAGCCTCCCAGCCAGAATCAATACACACATCCTGGCAGGTGATAAGGGGATTATGCAGGGAGCTTGGAAAGCTGCATGTTAAGGTGCACATTTTGTTCCTCTTCCAGGGYGAGATGGGGTTGTTAAGCTTCTGCYTTTGTATATCAAAGCAAAAGGCCTTGTCATCTGATAAGGACTGCTCATTTTAATAATTAGGGCCACTCACCCAGGACTTGGGGGCCTAAGGAATGTGCCAGCAGGCTCGGCAGGTTTTTTTTTTTTTTTAATGGGTTTTCCATCTCCCTGCCCCCCTGGGGCTGGAGGGACCAGCTGGGTTGAGGTGACAGCAATGTCCCCTCACTGCCCCGCTCTCAGTCTCCATTCCCATCCCTCAGCACCAAAGCCAGGAACCTCAAAAAGTTTTTAGAAAGTAAGAGAAAGGGGGGAAAAAAAAAACAACAGAGAAAAGGAGGGGGAAGGCTGGTGGGGAAGATGGGCCTCTCTGGTATGAGCGGCGCGGGGCTGGCTGCAGGCAGGTATTCCACCCAGCCGGGGCTGCATTCCTTTCCAAGGAGGCCAAGGCATTTCTGATGGGGAGATCAAGATGTTAAAAAATACATATCTGGGAAGGAGAAGAAGAAGGGGAGAAAAAAAAATGAGATAGTGAGGAATACCACAGGAAAGAAGTTAAATCTTCAAAGATAAATTAATTCCACATGTGGGTGAAAGCAAAGTTATCCCACTGCTGCTACAAGGAAGTTCCTCTAAAAACCATGGAGTCTTCTGCTCTGGATCAGGGGGATGTCCAGTCCCAGAGACCCTTCTTAGGGCCTTGGTGGGTTTTTGGGTCAATGTGTAAGGGCTGCAGCTCCTCTCACTATTTGATTTGAGACCATCTCAGGTGCTGAAAGTGCATTTGAGGAGCTCAGGATGCTCCGGGAGGCTCAGGGGTGCAGGATGGTCCAGCACAGGAGCAGCACCTGGCTGGGAGGTGCCTGTCACCCTGGTCACAGCCAGCAGGGCTGGTGTGTGCTGTTCTCACAGAGGATTCCTGCAGAGGCTGAGGTGCTGTGGATGTGGCACAGGGAGAGGAGGTGTGTCCAAAGRTATCACCAGAGAAAGTGGCCACAACAAACTCATCCTCCCAGCAGCACCGGGCTGCAGCATCATCACCCACCCAACACAAACTGCACAAAACTTAAAACCATAACCCTAAACACAAACTGCACAAAACCTAACTGCACAAAACCTAACCATAACCCCTAAAGCTGACACATTTCAAAGTCCTCCTCCCTGCTCCACATCCAGCACCACCCCACAGAAATCCCCCCGACCATCCTTTCCAAAAACCAGCAGGCTCTGCTAAGCTATTCTTAATGTTTTTGGGCTTTTTTTTTTTTTCTCCCTTTTTTAATTTGACCACCTTACTCCAGTAATTGCACCCAGATGCACCGAGCTGCCTGCGAGGGTTTTGCATTCCAGGGAGAGCGGTGGTCTCCTGCCACAGATGCTGCACACAGCAGCACAGCCCAGCTCCAAACTCAATATGCAAAGTGTTTTCAGCTGTCAGGTAGCAGTTGCTCTGGAGCTTCAAGGAGAATGTCTGATGTTTCTCAGCCTATTCTTATCTTGATACGATGACACACAGCATGTAACTCTCTCTCTCTCCCTGCTATGTTGGGCAATGGTTGTATCAGAGGTATTATAATGCCATGAAAATTTCAGGGGGGCTCTCCTGGTTGGATCCMCTCTTAGGAGGGTGCAATTTCAGAGCGTGGGGTTGTTTTTTTTTTTCTTATTCTCAGATCGTTTTTAGAAATAAAAATGCTCAGGAAGGTCAAACCGCAGAAAAACTACAAGGAGCAGTTKGAGGCAGCATTGAATCTCATTAAGTAGTTTCTTGGGACAAACATCATTGGGCAACCAGGGGTTTAAAAACACTTAAAAAAAGGCAAAAAAACCCACACATGCACAAACCTGGGGAAAAAAGAAGTATATATTTTAACACAACTATGTTAATCACAGCTTCCATGCTCTAATTGTAGAACACTGCTCGGAGCATAGCTTTACAATGGCATCATTTACTTTGATAATTGAAGCCAAACTTGGTTCCAATAACTTCACACACAAGGAGCTGCACCGGCGGGTCCTTTCAAAGGCCAGGAAGCACCAGGAGCCGGCAGAAAGCCATCTGCAARCCCAACCCTCGCCCAGCAAAGCCAGTCCCACCACTGGCAGAGCCTAATGGGAGGCAGATGAGCACACCTTGGGCTGAGCAGAGCCCCGTTACCCCCGCGGCACAGCAAAGGAAGGGGAGCTCTGTGTACGCAGAGCCGTGCGTGATAAATTTAGCAGAGTGTATAAATAATGGCTGGAATTCCTGCAGCATGGGGCCAGGTCCATGCAGCGGCGTGGGGAGGCCACTTTTAACCACACCACACAGCCCACAGGGGAGGGCATCGCCTGCCAGGACAAGAGGGAGGTCCTGCTTTTAAAATATTCCCCGGATCAGGGCTCCAAATATCCAGCCAGCCGTTTGCCAGGTGCAAACTCTGTGTTTTCACCCCACTTCTCCTGTTCCTGTCCATCACCGGCGCTGGGGCCAAACCAAGGCTTTCTGGTTCCTGTGGCCCCATGACTCTGTGGCCTGGGATGTCCAGGTGGGCTCCCAAACACAGGGCTGGCCCAGGATCACTCCTGGGATCACTCCTGGGATCACTCCTGGGATCGATCCCGCTGCCAGGGCTGGGGTAATCCCACCAAAACCCACCAGAGCCTGCACAGCCAGAGTGCACTGAGCAGAAATTCCTCAATTCCAACACACACACACATGAGGGAGGTGTGGTTTGGCCACTCACCAGGAAAAGACTTTGTGCGAGCTT